TTTTTTTTTTTTTTCTAGCTAGCTTTTAAATTCATTAAGAAGCTGATTGAGTTTGTAGAAATTAGGGCTAAATGTAGATATAATTCATTTTATTCCTCATGACAGTCGCGTTATTGTGGGATATTGATAGATTTTTTGTTATTTCAATTTTAATTATCACAAATTCTTGTGTGAGGTGACGGTTAGGCAGGTCAGCACATCTTTCTTCATTAATGAAAATGCTACTTATATTATGAAATGCCATACTTTGATTATGTTGTTTTTATAGAGTGTGACATGTAAGTTTGAAAGTATGGTCATTTGTTGAGAATGTATGGTTGCTTAATTAGGCCTGCTACAACAGCGATACTGTTTAATTATTATTATTACCTTTTGTTGTTACTTGCAGTATTGTGTAGACTAACGTGTTTGCTACGAGCTAGTTTATTTATTTTACACGTAGCTGGTAGCAGGCAACTTCAGGAAATTTACGTACAATGGATACATTTATGGGTTTAGTTCTCATGCTGGATCTTTGAGCTACTTGTCTCTTGGTCATTTGAATTTTCATTTTCTGTTTTAAATTGTTGTATGTTGTTTACATCAGGGATGCATTGGCATCTGCGGCGATTTCAAAAGATCAAATAAATGAGATTGTTCTCTCTGTAGCTAAGTTTATTAATGTGTGCGCTGTTGAGCAGATTCGTTTGGCACCTGTAAAATGTAAGCAGTCACTTAAAAGCAAATATGATATTTTTTTCAGTGTTCTGTACAATTTCAAAATCTTGGTTACCACTTGACTTGCAGTTATATCTCCTTGTAAGCGGTTAAAGGATCAAGTCATGTTGCTGGGGAGACCCAATGCGTGGTGTTGCTCCACTATTGACAGATCGTCCACTGAACAATTATTTACTTTGCATCCTGATTTTCTTCACACATGTGCCGCTCTGTTTGCCTCTCTGCAAACAAAAAGAAATTCAAAACCCTGGAACACGGAGCATAACTGCTTCATTTCTTGCACAATCTGGAACACAGCTGACCGCTGTTCCTTCTCCTCCTGCCATGCTGAAACCACTGTCTGGCAGTCAGTCTCCACACACATCTTCTGCATCCCCGCTTGATGTGCCCATTCAATCGCCTCCCAGCAGGCCAGTAGCTCTATGACGAATGGATCCTGAATATTAGCATACTGCTTGCACTTGGCTCGAATGAACTGGCCTTGATCATCTCTAACAATCATTCCAGCGCCAGCCCTCCCATTCACAAAGTCGACTGCACCATCAGTATTGACTTTAATCCAACCGACCTAGCTCCTTGAATCATAGAGTTCGAACTCCCTGGAACATATTTAGCACATTCCTACCCGACGGATCTGCCACGGCAAACAAGAGACTATTTTAGTTGCTCTTTCACTTCTTTGCTTGGTAGCTCAGTATTCGGGAAAACGGATGCGCTAACGCGCAACGGCTTTCGCGCTAGTTGCTCAATTCGTTGCTTGTTCGGTAGCCGTTATCAAAAGAATGCATTGCTGAGATACCAAAGAGAGTCTCGACGTGGCGGTCTCTTCTTCTCTGTTTATTGTCCAAATCCTATAAAACACGCCTTTCCATTTTGGAGGACGAAATATTTGAGGTTGATCAGCCTCGTGACTTTTTCTTGTATTGTTATTATGGGTTAGTTTTCCAAATTATTCTGATTACTCTGTTCTTCGTTTTTTGGCTGACTATGCATTATATATAACACTCGAGTTCCCCGAGAAGATTCCCCCCTATAATGTATGCTAATTTATCATTCTTCCTTTTTAGTTTTAGAAAAAGTAACATTGACAGAGGGTCATTAGTCTTCCTTCTTGCTTCTTAAAAGCAAGATGGTGACGTCTAACTTATACCGTTGGAGGATTTTGCATGTTCTTTGGGTTCAATATTCAACCTTCATCCTTCCTGACTTGGATTGAGATGTTTGTGGCTTTAAGTTCAATTATCAATCATGTTGACTGATGATCGTTGCTCAATAGGATTTGTTCAGTTTGGAGTCCAAGGCCTTTGTTCTTGAATCTAAATATAGGGCATAGACTTCATTGGAGCTCTATATATTTTAGTTCTGTCATAGTTTTCCAGTGGTGAAGTGGCTCGGCATAAACATCCTTTGTTAATTGACAAGTGAAACATTGTTTTGCCATGTGGAATTTTCCTAGCACAATAATTATAATTTTGCATTTTCTGCAACTGTAGGGGCATGATTTGCGTAGGGCAAAAGAAGTTTAGCAAAGCCTTGGAGCTCCTACACAATGTACGCTAAACTAATATTCTTTTTTGTTACATAATGTGTCATTGTAATCCTATTTTGAAAATATACGGATGCTGTGTCTTGCATGTTGCCGTTCTTATTTCTAGCATAATCTTCTTGCACTGATTTTTTATGTTGTAACTGCACCTATGTCCATTATCAGTGCCATAGCAGTTGAAGCATACGAAGTACATTTTGGTTTCCCTTATTCATCTTGGACGTGTACGTGGATATATAATGATGTGGTAGCATGTGTGTTCGCTTAATCTGTTGATTCTATGTTTAGTATCATTTCTATTTTGCCATAAAAAGGATTTTTATTGTTGTTGAACTTGGACTGTTGGTATTATTTCTGAAACAAACATCAACCATTGATATGACATAAAATCTCTTCACTTCACGTGTAAGTATTGCTTGTAACTGTTGTCTGCTTTAAAGTTTAAAACAATAGTTTCATCTTGGCAGTTCTCTACCACTTTCCCGAAGTATACTTCTTCTGCTGCTCAAAGGAATCTTAAAAACTTAACTCAGGTAAGTCTTTAGTCACCCATTTCCCACAATTACTGGAATATGAAATTACCATTTCTATTTGCACCCTCTTCTTGGTCAATACATGGTCAATACCGCGCTATTGCCGGTAGTCCAGTTGTCCAGTGCTTGGAGAACATTATGGACAGCATAATACATATTTTATATTGGAATCAAGCATGCTTTGATCGAAGAGGTTGACAGAAAATGAGAAATTGATTTTCAGTTGACATAGCAAAACTGACCCATATGTTGTAAATGAGCAACAACAACAACAACATACCCAGTATATTCCCAACTGGTTGGGGTCTGGGGTTCAGTTGTACGCAGACCTTACCCTTGTAATTATACAAGAAGGCTGTTTCCGTAGCGACCCAAGGTGCATTGCGTCGTTTGATATATTTTTTTACTAGATACTTCACTAATAGAAGAAACACTAGAATTTAATTGAGCCATTTTGATCTAGTCCATTATTAGCACTATGCCAGGAGAATTGTCAACAGACAACAATGACTCTTCCAGCTCCATTTGCAATGGACAAACATGTTGTAAATGAGCATTCCAGCTTATTTCTTTGGGTGGTTTACCTGATCAGATTTTGTGCCTAACTTTCATATATAATGTTTTTTTTTGGTTGTATTGAGCAGCCTTATCTGGAGTTGGTGAATGTTTATAGTACTGGAAAGGTTTCAGACAAGGACAAGTTTGCTAGTGTGAGTCTTTTTGATTCATTTAGAAAGGAAAACACATCATTTAACTTCAACCCATGTGATATAATATTATTTAACTTTCTTTTTACTTCCAGGACTAGAATCTTGGACTCGTGAAACAAGTTGTGGCTTCTTTGTGTAAACGCAATATTCAGAGGCTGACTCAGACTTACCTGACTCTCTCTCTCCAGGATATTGCTAACACCGTTCAACTGAATAGCCCCAAAGAGGCTGAGATGCATGTCCTTCAGATGGTTGTTTAAGCGTTGATGTGATAATCACATTGTTAGGAAATCTACCCAATTCTTTGTCTTATGAAATGGTAT